TTTTTTTATCTTCCGTACGGAAGTATATGTCCTGAGGCATACGAACAATTAATTTTGCGTTCCAGTATACTGCTATTTACAATAGAAATATACAGAATGAGTTTCACCAAAAGGGTGGATTATCCTGAATTTAAACTGCCAGGGTAAGTTTCATATGGTGGTAGAATGTGCTCTGGTTACACATCGAACAAGACTGATGTTTTTAAGATGTTCTGCAACTGCTGTTATAGAAAGTCCCACAACTGGTTGAGTGAAATGAGTGAATCTTACTCAGTAGCAATAGGTGATGTTTCTGTTTTGTTAACTTATTGTTTTATATCTCTTCATTTCAGTGTAGACCTCATGATTTTAGAATTGCTTTCTATGAATCACTCTTTGAGTAGAGTAAAAACAGATTTGGATCTGCTCCTAAAAATTCATTTTTAATTTTGTTTCTTTAAAATAGTGTTACCATACATGGCAACATTTAGAAAGTATGTCATGGATATAATTGGATTTCATTGCAATGACTGTGTGAATTATACCGTGTAAAGTAAAAACTATTTTATATTTCATGGTTCTGATTTCAATCAATGTTTTTCAAAATTGTAGCATTTTGCAATAATACTGTTTCATCTGTCTTCTGCGTGACAAATAAGTGCTAAGAAATCTAACCCTTTGAAAAATTTCCCTCAGGTTAAGAGTAGTTTTCATATTTTCTGTTTCCTTCCTTTGATTTTTCTAAACTTTCAGCAGCTGACAGTAGCTAAATAGGCATGCATATGTTGTGGGGGAGGCAAGGGTCAAAGTATGTTTAATTTCAACTTTGAGTTTTCATCAGGAGTGTTGTAGATCATCATTACAGTTCAAAAGTCATCACTTACACAGGCGGCCATCCACTAAGCAATGCAGTGTCTGGCAGAACTGTTCCAGGCTTCTAAGCCATCTGTGATATCTGAAGGTGACCTTAGTGCACTTTTTTTAATAATTTTGGGGGCTTCTCTAATATGCATGTGGTGGTATGTAATCTCAAGGGACCAGTACACGTGTAGCACGCAATTGCCCTGTGGCAAGAATGTTGTTGATTACTGGATTGTGTTAGTAAGGGAGTCTCTCCACAGCAGGAGGTGATGCTGTCAGGGATTCTCATTCTGGTTCCTGAAATAGCTAAATTAAGGCTTGGATAAGAGATATTTAAGATGCTGTTAAGTGGTTTTGATGTTGGTGATAGTGATCCTTTAAGATGATGCCCTTCTGTCCTCTTGAAGGCACTGTCAGTTGACACATCGAATTACTTCTGGCTTTAAAAAATGGCACTGAATTTTCTGTAGTGTTGAAGTGTTAACCCTGGTACTTCAGCTTCATACCAACTTGTGAAATTAGTTTGATTTTAATTAAGATAAATTCCTGTTTAGCACCTCTGCAGCACTTCGTGGAAAGTAAGTGCAGATACATTCTATTTCTTGTCCTGGAGAAATTATACTTTGCATTTCTTTTGTACTTTCAATTGATACTGTAATCTTAATTTCTTATCACACAGTTCAGTATCTGGTGCTGCTGGGGAGATAGGAGGGGAATTGAAGCTCTTGAACTTCTAAATATCCGTGAATAATAGAATCCTTCAAGCTGAAATGAATCGTAGGAGATACAGCCTCCTGCTTTAAACAGGGTCAACACTGAATTCAGACCATGATGTTGAGGAGTTTGTCCAGTCAAACTTTGAAAAGCCCCGAACACGAAGACTCTGCAACTGCTCTGGACCTCTTTCCTAGTTTAATTATCATAACAGTGAATTTTTATTTGTTTGTTTATCTCTAGTTGGAACCTCCCCTGTGTCAGTCTGTGACTCCTCGCAGGTATTGGAAGGCCGCTATTAGGTCCCCCATAAATCTTCCATTCTCCAGACTGAACAAGCCCTGTGCCCTCAGCCTGTCCTTTAAGCAAATATTCAACGCCTGACCATCTTGGTGACCCTTCTCTAAACACACTCAATATCCTCAGCTCTTATTTGTGGGGCACAAAACTGGACACAGGATCCAGATGCAGACTAACAAGTGGTGAATAAAGAGAAAAAAATTACTTGCTTCAATCAGCAGCACAGTAGGCAGCAATTATAGTGCATATATTATATATACGCGGTTTGCTGTCATAGCTGCCCCACTCAGCTTTAGCTTGATGTTTACCAGGACCCACACATCTCTTTAGGACAGCTGCTACCCAGCTGGCCAGTCTCCAGCCTTTTATTCCAGTTTACTCCCCTGTGCAGGACTTTCTTTGCTGATGAGGTCCTCGTTTGTCCATTCTTGTCTTTCTAGGTCCCCTCTGTATGCCCGTCCTGTCCTGTATCCCCCAGTTTGGTGTTGCCCACAAATTTAATGAGGGTGCATCCCTCCTTCAGCTTGAATGATGCCTGTTGTTTGCAATTCCAGGAAGAACAAAGGGACTCAGGATCTCAAGGTCCTGATGGTTTGGGCTTACCTAAAGATTAGTACTGATTCTAGGCAAGCCTGAATTTCAGTGAAGTTGTTCCTGAATACGTCCATACGATGATGCAGTGAAGAAATTTCAGCTTTTTTTAAAAGAATTAGGCTGTTTTAATAAATAAAATGGACTTTCTTACATAGCTGTTCCTCTTTTGTTTTATTTTACAGTGGATTCCAGTCTTGCAAGACTTCAGAAATAAAGACAACCTCTGGGGCTTTGTACCATATGAAAATGACAAATCTTCAGCAGAAATTTCATTTCCGATTACGCTTCATATTGGAGATTACAATATGGATGGCTACCCAGATGCTCTTGCTATACTAAGAAACACATCTGGAAGGTAGAGTATTTGTAAACCTAGAAAGAAAGGCTGTCAAATGCATGTTCAGTCATCGGTCATATGGATTACTAGGTTTAGTGCATCTCACTCATTTTATCAAGTGAACAAGACTTTTGATCTCTGCTAAATGTTTCCCTGTTAATAAGGTATGCATTTCCATGGTGTGTTCAGAAGGCATAATTGTATAGGCTCAGACTGTGACTCTTGGTGGAGAATTGCACAGGGGAGTGGAGTATGAAGTACGATTTTAGGCACCTACATCACAGGGGCTGATTATCTCTCCCTTTCCCAAGTCGTCTTCTGTAAAATCCTGACTTCAGCTTTCAGTATTGGCTCAGCCTGCTGAGCTGGGGAACCTGTTCTGTAGGGTATGAAGTACCATTTTAGGCACCTACATCACAGGAGCTGATTATCTCTCCCTTTCCTGTCCCAAATCGTCTTCTGTAAGATCCTGACTTCAGCTTTCAGTATTGGCTAGTAACACCAGCCTGCTGAGCTGGGGAACCTGTTCTGTGCTGTCACATGGAGTGAACGCTGATTGGCAACTCTGCTGAAAAACACAATAGTTTTTTATCCCTTTTGAGAACCAGGAATTTTAGATACACCTTTTAACTTACCAGTTATTTTATATTGTCCAAATTTAACTGAAATAAATAAACTCTGCCCCATGCTAAAAAAAAGCTTCTAAACTTTCTTCTTAAATTTGTCACTGTAATCTTTCTCCTCCTTTTTTTTTTTCTTCATTACTTGTTTTCCCAATTCTTTGTTTTCCTACCATCTGGTGTTAGGTGGGAGAGGGCATGTAGTGATGCTTCCAGGGAGCCTATTGTACATTGAGGAGTTAGCGATGCACATAACAGCTGGCCTGAGTAGGTGCACACTTGTGCTGCGGCACATATCACTTGGCTGCAGGATAAACATAGCCAGCTAATTGTAATGGAGAGGCTTGTAGGCAGCTCTCGCTTGGCACCTGGTGGTAATACCACTGGCACGTTCTTGTCTTTACCTTGAAGTGAAGCAGCATGTTTTCATGTGAACATCCTTTTGCTTGACAGTAGAAATTATGAATAGAATTGTTTACTTCTAAGAAAAACCTAAAAGAGCTCTAGAGACCATAATGCCTGTAAACCTCACTACAGACAGGACACGCACAGCATGCTGTGCCCTGACTAGAGGTCTGTCTGATGCTGCACAACTTGGGGCTTCCAGCATCTGAAGAGATAAAAGATTAACTATGCTATCCCTTTTTTCTTCCTTATGTCATCACTTGTAAAAGGTATTTTAATCAATACTTTATGGAGTCTCAAAATCTTCCTTACTGGGATCAATAACAAATACTTGCTCTAGTGCATTACAAGGCAAAATAAGTCTCTCTTACAGGTGTATTTATTCTCTTCCTCTCTATGGTATTTTGGATGAGCTTGCGTGCAGGTTCACAGTTTGAATGAATAGTAAGGAAAAGAACTGAGGAGCTCAGACCAGTATATAGACAGAATTTAGATGCTGAAGTCAAAGAAGTCAATTCAGATCCTCTGGTGGTTGCCTAAACATGAGTCACCCGCTGACATTTTTGTGTTAGAGCTCTTCAGATACTGACACATACCTAAAAATGACCCAGTTTGAAGAGCTACATGCTTGTATTCAGCCTACGTGATGTGATTCAGAGACAAGGCAGTGAGCAGCTGAGCTCTGTACCTCTGAGCCTTAGCATAACTAGCACAGCCGCTGTCTATATTCAGCTCTGGAAGAGGAGAAGGAGGTGATGCTGTTACTAGCCAGCACTTGCATAGGCAAAGTTAAAGCACTCAGGCCCTGAATGTCAGGTTTTTGACTCCACAGCCTTGCTCAGTTGGGAGTGTGCATTTTCTGTTCAGTAATCACTGAATAAACTGTAAACAGTCTAGAGAGCAGACTAGAACCAAAGTGTTTCCTTTTCCATAGAAATCCCATGACATCTAAACCATAAAGTTGTTCTTGTCCTGTTTTTATGTGTGTATCCTGGTGGCTAGTACACTTCAGAAGGACTTTATGAAGATTTATGGAGTTCAGAAGTTTATTTGAAGTTATTTATCTTTTAAGATTCTTAGGAGCCTTTCTCTCTGGCTGGTATATAATTATGGCAGTGTAATATTATGTAAAAGATTTAACTAGATTATAAGTAGTTGCTCCTATAAAAGCCCAGGAACTTAACTGAGTCTCATTGCAGTGAATTACTGTGATACACTTTTATCTTTATTCTCCTCACTTATGAAATTGTTTGTTTATTCAGTTGTGTCTGTCTTAAAGTTATTTTGAAACTTGACTTCAAAGTTGAGTGACATGGTGAGGCATAAGGACTGAAGGTACTGGCAGATGATTTGACAGGTTATTAAAAGGGAATTTCAGAGAGCTGAGGGAGGAAGTCTGGCAAAAAAAAGAGTAAGTAAACTAAGAATTAAGAAATACATTGCATGTTAACAGTATATATTTCCAGTATTTGTAGAAGAGTAATGGAGACAGGCTCTTCATGCTCTGGGATGGGAATGAAAGTCACAGTTTTTGCACCCACTGTCAAACAGCACTTTCAGAGACTAATTCATTGTTTCTGAGGGACTTAAGCAAATACTTCCTTTTAAAGCGCGTAATTGGGTCACAGAGTGGAGAGAAAGAACACAGTGTGGGAATTAAATTAAAAGCTCTTCTTAAATTAGAGCAAATTAAAATGAAAACCTTATTTAATTGATTTTAAACACTTCTGGATCAAGCTGTTTATTTCTTTCTCTGAAGCCTTTCATGCTACATCTACAGATCTAATTTCAGTGATTGATTACTGTGATTAAATGATAAAAGCATTTTTGTAAATTCCTGGCCCCAGTCTGTGCTATAGTGTAGGAAGCCTAGCCTCTAGTTGCTGTCTGGAACTTAAAGAAATTAAAGGAGGCAGAAACCATTTTATTCATCTGAAAATATACTGATACATGATGATGGAAGAATATTATTAAAATAAATTATATGCTCTCATCACAATTCAGGAAAGCACTTTCAGATCAAATTCTTAAAAATACCTACAAAATACTGAAATAAAGACATGATAGTCAGGAATAATGTTGGTTTACTGTCCTTTCAGGTGAGTAAGTCAGGAAAATTTTAATAACTTCAAGTATTCTCAGAACTTCTGTAAGACTACACTGTTTCATCTCCTGCCATATCCTTCTGATTTCAAATAAAAGCATGTAATGTTCTGACAGCATGGAGGCATTCCTTAACAGCAACAACAAAACAAAGGAATCTCACTTGTGGTTGCAAGCGTGGTGGGGCTTTGAACCCAGAGACTCAATAAATTCCAACAGGTGAAGATGCTAAATTCACAGTCAATTCTTACATATTTATCTGTCCATTATGAAATTCTTTTAACCCTCTAGACGAGTCAAAACCTGCACATTAGAATTCCAGTCCACAGATTTTTTTTTTCAGGCTAGATACATACATGATTTTTTTCTTTCCTCTAGTTATGACTGTATTGGAAATTGTGTATGTATATAGAATAAGAATAGTTAAGTAGATTTTATCAGTAGTTAATAATTGTTTCATCTCTACTTCCTATCTCATCTAAATGTACTAATTTTTTCACGTGCTGGTTTTAAATTGACTCTGATAACACTGAAAGTGTAAGTGCTGCATGTGAGTCTATAAACACCTATGTTTCTCCCACCTAATTAGATAAATGTTGTTTAACCACTTGTTTCCAAATTAGATGCTAATAATTGTCATTTTTCATTGCAAACATGTAATCTAAGGAAGCATTTTTTTAATTATGCTTTTATTCAAGAGGAATTTTTTCACTGGTAAAGTTGGAAATACAGTATCTTTCTCTGACATTGGTGATAAATAACAGTAAGGGCTGAAACTTGGGAGAGAACAAACAACTGTATATGGACACTTGAATGAAAAACTTTTGAGTATAATACCCATCCAGAAAGTTTTCCAGGGCTTCATGCTCAGCTTTAACCTAGTGTATATGTATTAACCCCTTATGTGGGTATACTTGAAAGGACTCCTATTTGACCAAATTATCTCTTCCTAAATCACTGTTAGTTGTCACTTGTCAGAAGTAAGGTTGGATAGAGGTCTTCTTTTAAATGTAGAATTGATGAGCACCTTGTAATTGAGCGAATCTGAAAAACCAGAGGCAAGTTCAATTATTCTGGAAATCTGGAGTAAAATATTAGTCATTTATATGTCCCCTGTATAACTGTAAATGAGCTAGCCTAAAACTGACAGAATGAGAGACATATGAAATTAAGCAGTAACTATTTAATTCTAATTGCAAAGAAACATGTTAAAATCAAACTGAGAAGTCTTCAGCCTTTCTTTTGGTGTTAAGCCTTGCCTACAGTTATTCAGCCTTATTATATTTAGCTGTGCTGCATAGATTACTTTGGACAGAAGGTTCCAAGTCGTAGGCAACTCTGCATTTTATTCAGCATCACTCATAAGCTGTTTGGGATAAAGTTATGCAGGTAGTACACAATTTAGCTGCCACTGTGTTTAAATTGGTGTGTATACCTAAATATTAAAATTGCTGTAAGTAGCATGTTAATGGTGATATGCTGGTCTTAGTTTGGTGTTCTTTTGCTCTGCCTCTTCTCTGTATTTAAGCCAAATTGTTCAATATTGACTGTTACACATTTGTGTACTACTTTAGCGTTGATTTTAGTGTTTTACTATTGTAACGGTGTCTGTCTTTATGTGTTTTCCCATTGTTTTGTCATTTTAAGGATGCTGATGATTTCATTGTTACAGGGATATTTTTTTTTGATGGTGTTAATTTGCAAAATTTGGTTCAAAATAATAGGAAGGTCATAAACTTGTTCTTGGTAATTGTAGTATGTAGCAGAAATAAAACATGGAGGTAGATACTTTGATTCTAGTGAAGCTTGTATTGAGCCAAGCGAGAATCACTTGACTGTGCACATGAAAAAATTGTTTGTGCACAACGACCAGTCATGATATGTGCAGCCGTCAGTGGAACTCGGATATTGAGCCAAGTGAGAATCACTTGACTGTGCACATGAAAAAGTTGTTTGTGTACAACGACCAGTTATGATATGTGCAGCCGTCAGTGGAACTCGGAACATAGCTCACCCTGAAAGCTAGATGGAAGTCTAAAGCACTAAGGCTGTTTATATACATGGATATGAGGAAGGGGCTGCAAGTACATTGCTTTTTTTTTTTGTCTGTGTTTTTGGGGCAAACCTGAAGACTGTCCCCTACCAACAGATGAGAACTTTTTGTTTTTTCCTCTATTCAGTAGTTGAATCATCTTGGAGTTAAATATGAGTTTGTAACTTAATTCCTTACTATAAATATTATCCATTGTTTAAAAAGGAAAAAACATGATGGTGTAAAGACACCTGAGTGATATTCTCTAGTTAAATAATTTGTTTAGGAGATATATATCTAATAAGTTATTAACTCTTCTCATTGTGCTTTTCAAAGATGCTTTTAGAGGAAATAAGAGGAATTTAATGCTAGAATAGAAGTAAAAATAATTTGAAGACATAAAAAAAAAAATGCCAAGTGATAAAAGGAGATAAAAGGAGGCTCAGCTTTAATTACAAAGCTAATCATAACTAGCTTGTAAACAGAAAAAAAACCTCTGTAGGCTTCCAGTGAAGTGATGTGTTTCTGTAAATTCCACTTTAAAAAAAAAAAAAAAATTAAAGAAGTTTAATATTGCAGTTCATGTTTAAACCTTGTTTTATCTCATCTTTCTCACCAATAGTAAGAGTTTTCATTAGCTTTAGAATTTAATTATTTTTGTTTGTTACCCTGCAAGTTCTTAATTTTTCTTATGGTAAACAATAGCACTGACTCTTTACAAAATCAAAATTAAAAAATCAGATTTCAACTTCATATGACTCACAGTAGTGAGTCTAAACTTATGTGTATGTGCTTGTAGGTATAGTTGACATTTGCTGTAGCTTAACATTTACGTGTAATGTGTTTGAGTTGTTAATTTTTCTAGGCAAGCTTGTATTTGTGTTTCAAAAGGGACTGTATGGATATAAATCAGTAGTAGTACAAAATTTCCTGCTGCTTATTAAGATAAACATTGTTAGACTTTCATCTATATTCAGATTAGGGATTCTCCAGACCTCTATTGCTTTGACACAAGGGATGCTACATCTATGACATTATTTTTTTCCTCTACAAGGAAGTGCACAAGGAAAAACTCTCCTATAGTGCACTTCTCAATCTTCAGCATCTGTTTAGGGTTTGGGATTGGTTTTTTCTTCCTGTTGTTTGTCTCGTGTTTCTCTTGTTGATATAGAAGGGTGAAGGAGAGTGGCATTTCCCTACTTAGTATCACTTCGACTACTATCTTCCTTTTTTTCTCACAGTGCAGGTGGTGTTATGTTGTTGCTTGTCCAGTTTGGGATGTTTTGAAAGTCATTAAATGCACAGTACCAAGGAAAGGAAATAAAAAAGGTTTCTGTCATAAATAAACTTCTTGTGTCTATCCATTCACAATACTTACAGTTTAGGCTTGAACAATACTCTATACATAGATTGCAATGCAAGCTTGACAATCTTTTGTCTTTTAAATAATTATCATCTAATCATTTCTGGCAATTTAAAAAATGTGAATTGAAAAAAATTTGTCAAATTTGTAAAACTTCCTCCAAATTTAAAAATATATGTCAAGATGATGAAAAAGAGAAATTGAAACGATTTCCTTAGGTCACCTTTATAGTTGGTTAATCTGATATGATATTTATGCAATACCTGAAATGAATGTGAACACTTAACAATTTCAAGTTATGATTATGAGTTCTCAGATACAGATAATACAATGTCTTAAATATCCCAGATCACCTCATTTCATTTTGGCTAGACATTAATTCAATTACTCATGCTTCTAACAGTGAAATAGTAAAAAGTGAGTTGTCCATATTAAACTTCAATCAAATGCAGATATATGGCAGAAGAATAAAGGCCTAATTTGTGTATTTTTCACAGAATCTCAAGTAATGTGATTATAAGGTTTCTGGACTTGTTCCAACAGGTCCATGTTCTTCTTCTGTTGGGGGACCCCAGAGCTGGATGCAGCACTGCAGGTGGGGTCTCATGAGAGCAGAGTAGAGGGGGAGAATCACCTCCGTCCACCTGCTGGTCACACTGCTTTTGATGCAGCCCAGGATGCGGTTGGCTTTCTGGGCTGCAAGCGCACATAGCTGGGTCATGTTAAGCTTCTCGTGAACCAACAATGGCCAATTTGGTTTGTCTTGTTCTGTTTTTATTGTGCGAGTAGTTTGGGTTTTGTGTTTTCTATTTTGCTTTGAAACAATGGAAAAATACAAAAAGACATGTGGTTTCATCTTAAATTTGTTTAAAACATCATGCAGTGTGTAAGAAAATTTATTAATGGAGCTAGGGTGGAAAGATATTGTCATAAAATGAAAAAACACTGACACTTTTAAAGTAGTGTTTAAGCTGAAGGACCATGGATGGATTAAGGAAAAATGGCAGATACTTGTACTTGCCATTGTACTTGTTTCAGAATGAAGTAAGAATATGTTTGGTCTTTTGAGTGGGTGGTTAATGAAATTATTAAAAAAAAAGCTGATTTGGACCCATTTATTTAGTGTATTCATTGGCTTAAGTCAGGCGTGACATAATGGTTATAATTCTGTTTGTAAAGTTAACATAAATGCTTATGGATTTAAAGTAGCCAGCGGCTACTAGCTTTGGTTTTTACTGTACTTAACTTCGGCAGAGTTAAATTATTTCATTACAATATTTTTGTAATGTCTATTCTTTAGACTGTTTAAAGCAAATAAGTTGGTTTAAATATATATATATATCTATGTTTTACAGCAATCAACAAGCGTTTTTACTAGAAAACGTCCCATGTAATAATATAAGCTGCAAGAGTGTACGTCGCATGTTTAAAGTTTTTTGGGAGCTCTCGGATCTAAATCAAATCAAGGATGCCGTGGTAGCAACCTTCTTTGACATATACGAAGACGTAAGTTCAACTCTTTAGTCCAGGAAACAGCGTCTCTCTGTGTTGCTGTATCCGTCTGTGTGCCATTGGGGGACTGCGTTGTAGAAAGATTGGCTTTACAGCACATGGCAGGCAGCGCCTTCAGCCTGGGAAAGTCACTCTTGACGTGCTCCCTGGAAGGTGAGCAGATAGCAGCAGCCCATCACTGCCTAAAATTTTGCTGACTCTCTTTATGCTCCATTTGAGTCACCTTCCTTAGTGGCAAGAAATGCACTGTCCCGGTTAGCTGTGGATGGACTGCTCTGTCCTAAATTGCCATAGATTAGTAAGATTTGAAAGATATCAAAATTAGTAATGAAGGTGTAAATTTTGCTGCACACGCTCTCTTTTTTTCCTTATTTCTAAGGGAATATGTTAAATTTTAATGCTATTTAGAGTAAATCAGCATTTTAATGTAAACTTTTTTTTCCTCTAGGGAATCTTGGATATTATTGTGCTAAGCAAAGGCGACTCCAACAAGGACTTTGCTATCCATACATTAAAAAATAACTTTGAAGCAGATGCCTATTTTGTTAAAGTTATTGGTAAGTTATCACTGTATAATCAAATCAAAATGGGACCTTGAGAGGAATGTAAATATTCGAGTCTCTGCATACGATAACATTATGGTAATGCTCTGTGTATGGTAATTCTAGAAAAGAAGAAACACGGCCTGGAAAATATTAGGGATTGCAGAAATTTCTTGTTGCAGAATCTAAACTTGGATAAGTTGGTTTTGTTTTGTTTCAAAGGGTTTTTTCTTGTTCTTATTTTAGTGTACTTATTAAAATTCAGTGTAATTCTGCCCACTATTTTCAACATTTTAGCTGTTTTTAATATCAGTGTTGACCACAATGACCTTTAAATAAGTGTTCATCATGTCTTGAGTGTGGTGTTGGTTTGTGGGTTTGTTGGTTTGCTTTTTGGTTGGCGGTTTGTTTTTGTTTTTTACAAGAATGCAAGTCTTATTTCACTCGTTAACTACAGGCAGACTAAATCTTTCCTTTCAACCTGGAGCTTTCCTTCTGCATCCTAGCAGAATTCTAAAGACACATACTAGGTCTTTAAAAACTCATTTCTCAGCTGGCTTCTGATGGAAAAACAAGAACTATCAAGTGTCTAAAATATGATCTGCAGGGGAAGAGCACATGGAACCAAGTTATTCAGCCTAAAAGAGAAATGTAAGGAAGATCCATGTCTTCAGTCCAAAATGATACATAACAATGAGGGAAGAGCATTCTGTGTGTCCATGCAGGAAACACGAAGTAACAAACTACGAAGAGTAAATAAGAATAAATTCCTAAATAACGGCTTGTGAAGTACTAACAAAAATTCCTGGAGAAGCAGAGTTACCAACATTAGAGGTCCTAACAATTAGGTTAAGAAATGATGTAGTATATTTAATTTTTTTTGACGAAAAGAGTCGGACGAGCTGAACGTATGAGGCCTCTTCTGTGAATCTTTTGTACAATACCTTCCTTTATCCCCCCACATAATGTAATGTTGTTAATAGAAGAATGACATTAGATCTGCACATATCTATCATTCAACTTAGATATTTTTTTAATATGTGATGCTATTTAAAATTTGGAGGAAGATGAGCTCATAAATCATTAATTTGAGGAAAAATATAATTATGCTTGCATGTGTAAAGATGTGTGCCATAGTGAGATGAAAGGAACCAGAAGAAATAACAGTAATATTGACTTGAAGGAACATGCTTGTCCACAATGATTGCCTTTTTGTCTTGCTTATTTTCAGAAACCTAGGCAAGAAACAATAGCTAAGTACACTTTTTTTTTCATCTGTGCCTTGAGTGTTTGCAATCTTTTCTTACCAGGAGGGACTTCTGTCTTTTTTAGCTGTACCTCTGTCACATCAAGCCTACTTTACTGGAGTTCTTTTCTGTATCATCTGGAAATGACGCAGAATCTAGTGCAAAACGGGTTGGTTTCATTTCAGTGACGACTGGTATGGTGTAGATTTTGCTTATGCTGCGTGATGTATTCTAAGAGCCAGTTTGTTTCCACTGTGTGAGTCAATTTGGTGTTTTCAGCCTAAAAGTGCTACATGGCACAAAACACATCTTATTGTAAAAGGGCAGAAGGACAATGAACATGGCAAGGGTGTGTGAATTACTTAGAGCTTGGTTTAAAAGGCTAGAGTTAGATTATGATATTTGTAATTGAGAGTAATTAGGTTGTCAAATTGCATGCCCTACCATGTTCTTCCAGACTGCAGAGGTGTTGAGCTTAGTGCTTGTCTGTCTGCCTTGATTTTTTGAGAACAAATAAAAAATTGGGCTGTATGTGAGCTTATGAGGACCAAGCTGAACAAGAACAACTAGAGGTTCACCTTCAAAAATTGTATTTGCCTTCATGTTATTTAAATGCATCTAATCCTTCTAAAGGACACATTCTGCATGCCATGAGACAAACAGAACTGCAGCTACTACTGGGGACTGATGCATTTATTAGTTTCTCCTTAGCCTGAGCTTTATTCTCATTGTAATACCCTGTAATAATTTGTTAAGTTGATGGAAGCCTTCTTTTAAATAATGCTGTATATGCGTAGTGTAATTCACACAAGCATGCAGAAAATCCACTAGAAAAATCTTACACTCCACAAAGCCATATTAGAATTATAATTGTGTGATATTTCAATGAGGAAGGAGTAATTTGCAACATGCTTTTTGATTCACTCTGTGTAAATTTATCTTAAAAATAGGAACAAGCCTTTTTTTTAGCACCCTTTTACGGTGTGAGTATTTTTGCATAGAAAACCAGGAAATGGGGATTAATGAGTGGTTTAAAAATATTTTTACTGTGATACAGAGGAGAGTATATCTAACAAAACGTGCTTTGTGTGAGTTAGTGTATCAACAAATGCACTGTGTTCGCTTATTTGGCATATAGACAGTGAGAACAGTTTTGCTCATTATAACTGATGTCAAATGTACTTGCTGAGATTTCTTGTTCCAGTAGTGAAATTGAACAGCAAATTTCAGTGTGCTGTTTTGCATCAAAATGGGAAGAGTTGGTGCCACTGCATACACACCTATGTGTAACATGTAAAATAAGTTTGTAGCTTTAAAAGTCTATTTGTAGATACACCAAATTCTGCTTTGCCACAACTTCATCTTACATGTCCAGATATAAAAATGTATAAAAATAATAGATTTTCCCGTATTTGGAAATTTCAGCATTTTTAAAATGCAAGGAAAGAATGCTAACTTGGGAATCATGACAGCGTTTATATTTGCACACAAAATATTAGAAATGTTCCTTCACTAGAACAGTGCCATCCAGACTCCAGTAGGGAATGATTTCTAATCCGACTACGACACTATGAACATCTTATGTACACCTTGTAGTATTTCCCTGTCCCCAAACGTTTTGTACCAGAAATTCCCTGGAGCCTTAAAGTAGACAGAAAATGCTTTAAAAAAATCCTGGTAGTTAGGATGACCTGCCCTCAAATCTGGTCCAAATATAAATTTTTGCTGTCTACATTTGCTTTGGGATACCTTCACTAATGGAGAAGTTATGTTTTCACTTGGCTTTGATACTGCCTGGTCTGTTTCCACTGCCCTGCTCGTAGCCAGTATTGGGCTGCTGCTCAACCAAACTGCTGTCATTTGAAGTCCAAATGTGGCATCAGAACGACACCTTAGATTTTTGTGTGTGTGATTTTTGTTGTGGTTTTTTTTTTTTTAAAAAGGCATTTTAGTAGTGATGTTCTAATACTCAGTGTGACAGGATGTTCTAGGTTATAGAACAGATGGCTTCACTGTCCTTCATTTAGTTGATTATATATAAGTGTTTAACAGGTATTTCTGCAATTTAACTGATTTTTTGAAACCAATAAGTTTTAAACAAGTAATTGAACAACAATGTAAGTGTTTAACAGGTATTTCTGTAATTTAACTGATTTTTTGAAACCAGTAAGTTTTAAACAAGTAATTGAACAACAATCACAGGCTTTAGATATTAAGTAGCATAAACATCTGCTTATAATACTTCTGAATTCATAGGATAAATAGGTAATGGGATTTTTGTTTGTTACAGCTTTTGGAAATTGCTTTAAATCAAACTGTAAAAAACTATCCCTTGTATAGAAGGAAAAGCCTTTACCTACCTTTTTACCAGTTAAAACAGGAAAGCTGAATCTCTGACAATATTTTTAAATCATTAGAAATGAAGAATAATGAATAAAATTTATTGAATCTCTGACAATATTTTTAAATGGTTAGAAATGAAGAATAATGAATAAAATTTACAGTCCACTCTTTTAAAAATGTTTTAATTTGGAATTTTTTTAACTGGCAACTCTCTCCTTTTGAAGCTGGTTAATGAATGAGGTATGATAAAACAGTGACTACTGACTAATTTCTGCAGAGAAGTATACTTCAAAGAGATTAGTAATGTTTTTATACATTAACATAAGTCGTATATAAGACATTTATTTTCTTTACATATTTTAATGGTTACCTGACACTATTACCATAACAGATTTCATAGGCAGACCTTGTAAGATGGCTTGTTAACCTAAGCACTACAAACTCACTTTTTGTTTTTTGCAGTTCTCAGTGGCCTCTGTTCTAATGACTGTCCTCGGAAAATAACAGTAAGTATAACTTTGCATTACTATTTAGCCTCAAATAAGCTGAGGTCTAGTTATATCATAAACTCCCCACATATTAAGACAGTTATTGACTGGAAGAATGTGTAATCCAAATTATGACTGGCCAAGTTCTGGACATTTGAGACCCATACCTTCCGCCAGCTGCCTGCTCAGAGACAAAATCAATTGACTGATTCTGCACTGCGCTTTGTTACCCTGCATCATGGGGCTGGGATCTATCAGATACGAGAAAAACTCGTCTAATAGAGCTGGATGCCCAGACTGTGTAGTGTGCCAAGTTTTGTTTTGGGCAGTCAGAAAGGCCAGGCAAAACTGATTATGGGACAGATTCAGCCATACAGCCACTTCTGGACTAAAATACAGTAAGTGGGTACAATGAAGGCTAGAAGGGAAGGAAATGTAGTTGGCTCTGATGATTCTGCAGATAGAAATCAGTACATGTATATGTGGCTGTTTTAATTATTTTAATCATCTCCAAAGATCCTGCAGCTCACCCACCAAATTTTCAATTAGCAAATTGTTTAGCAATGTTAGCAGTGACAGTTGGCCTAAAAGTGAAACTTGGAGGCATCAAAGCTAGCATTAGCACTTTAGCTCTGCAAAAATATGAAATTTAATTTTGATTTGAAGATACAAAAACTGCTTCAAATAGGACCAACTTTTTCTTCAAGTCTGTTTTAAGACATAGAGTTTAATTTCTGATATAAAATAATAAGGGGAATAAGGGCGTTTGATAATAGTATTAGCTTAATTACAAAACTGTGGAGGGGGTTTAAAAAGCAAATCTTCACAACAGATGTTGGTGAACATTTAATTATCAAGATCATCGAAATATTATTGCCTCCAAGTTCTCTGTCAGATGACAAAGTAACATAAAGTACATAATGCCAGAATGCAGCTACTTCGTGCAAACAAAAAAAAAAAAAAAAGTTTTTCACCTTATTTACTCATCTTTCATAGATCTCCACTAATGTATTAACGTCACCTTTGTGGTCTCCTTACTCTTGATTCTAATCAATTATTTTTCAGGCTTTGATTCCATCTCTCATCATTATCACTTATTCTTACAGTTTAGAACTTACTGGTTTTTGTGGCACGGTGCAAAACAGGTTATCATCTCTTCTTTTAGTGTTTTTCCGTAACTCCTTTGAAAGATCTTTACTGGATTGGATACCCCAATATCAGCTTGAATTCAGCATTAAAAGGAAAAAAAAAAAAGAAAGAAAACTTTCTTTAAAATCTATTCTTGCAGTTGTCTCCCCTCCTCTCCTTTCCCCACCATAGCAGGTTATTGTTCCCCTCCCTTCTTCCTTAGGCACATTTGTTGTGGTTCATCACTCAGTAATCCACAACTCCCTTTGATTTCCCCCCCCCCCATAGCTGTTCTTTGATGTTTGAGAATTTGCTTAAAATAGATACTGGTACTCAACAAGTAACTATTCAACCACTTTCATGAACTAAATAAAACACTGCTAAATAATGATAACAAAATTTTGAATTTGTGTAGTATTTTTCAATTCAGAAAGGCCAGCAAGATAGTGCATTCTCTCAGACAATATCAAATGAGCTCTGCTCTTTCAGAATATGCACTTACTTCTTTGAACTTTTGGGGGGGTTTATTTTACTTGTGACTTCCAAGGAAACATTAAACCTTTTGCCAGAGTACTGAATAGTGTTGCTTTCTTTGCGAGAAACTAAACATTACTTAGACAACTGATTTCACCTTATTTTGAAAATAAATTTCCATATAGTGCTATGACCAAAACAGTTGCAAGATTTCAGAGTTATCCATATCAATAGGAAATAATTAATCTAGAAACATTTTGTTTGTTTTGTTTCCTTTTTTATTACAATAGCTTTGTCTGTTCCTGAAACTTTGCCTGCTTTTTTTCCTCCCTTATAGCCTTTTGGTGTAAATCAGCCTGGTCCTTATGTCATGTACACTACTGTAGATGCAAACGGATACCTGAAGAATGGGTCGGGTAAGATAACCTCATAATAAGAATACACATGGCATGGTCTGTCTGTATATACTTCTCGGCAAACCAAAGAGTTGGAAAGAAGTCTATGGAGTGAAATGGGACTGGTTTTGAGTAGTGTCTTCAGTTTACAAGGATAAAAACCCTTAACTTTCCCTTCTTACTTTACAGCTTGCATATTTATTACAAACATTGCAAATGCATTCTTTTTTTGCTTCCTTCTGTCCCATGCAAATTGTGTTTGAACAGTTGGCTATATCTTGCCCAATCTTGAAAAATCCTTGGGTACAATATCATCAGTTTGTGAAATAGCACAGGCTTCTAATGATTTACTTTTTCTACCAGTTCCTTAGCAATTATGTAGTAAGAAACAACAGTGACCTAAATAGAATCTTGTAGCCACATGAAAAAGCATCAACATAATATTCAGTAAACACAGGATGTATTTTTCTGGAGTTGTTCACTACATCTTGCAGGCTAACAGGCATCTATAAAATCATGAGTACCATGAGGAAGATGGAGGGGGAAGGGCTGCATCCTTTCACGCAATACAAGAACTACAAGGTATCAAAGAATCATTAGGTAACAGGGTCAAAAGAAATGGAAAGAAGCAGTCAAGAAACAAGAAGTTTTAATCATTTATAAAATGATTTTAATCAAGATGACAAAATAATGGATTTTTGGTAGCTGAAGTGCAGAATATTTATTAAAAGGTTAAAGAAGCAGTGCTTCCTGCAACTTGTAGGTTAACTATAGGTTTAATCGCATCAGATGTTGCAGATGTCACAGTTTACATGAGTCCAAAACCAAAGTAGACAAAAAACCAAAACCACACACATTAGGCCATGGTCCAAGCAGTGCCTAATGTTAGAAGAATACCCTGGATTTTATGCTGCCTTCCTAGGTATGTACTAGTAGTTCCTAGAAGACATTTTAATTCTACTCATTTAGATTCATTGTTCATGTAGTTAAAGAATTTTTTAACTCTTGTTACTTATTTGTACTTAACACAGTCTCAGACTTGGAAATCTGGCATTTTAAGGGAATTCATACAATACACTTAAAAATCATGTCTCACAGCTAGTAGAATCTGTATTACTAGATTCTTAAAAATATCTTATATTTGGGATGTCATACATAGTAACTGTAGAGGACTGAAACAGCATATCTGGATATGTTACATGCTGCTTTTTAAAGTAAATTTGATTTTTATAAATTGATTTTAATCATTTATAAAATGATTTTAATC